GGCACGCATACGTCGTAATCCGGAAGACTTTTGGCATCGACTCGTAACTATAGACGAAACATGGGTACACCACTACAATCCTGAAACCAAAAAACAGTCCAAACAATAGATTACCGCAGGAGAACCAGCCCCAAAGAAGGCAAAGACAGTAAAGTCAGTTGGCAAGATTATGGACACGGTTTTCTCGGATGCGTATGGAATCATCTACATCGACTACTTGGAAAAGGACCAGACGATCACTGGATAATATTAATATTAAAATTAAAACCGTCATTATTCGGTTAGCTGAAAGAAAAAATCAGAGAAAAACGTCCTCACGTAAACAAAAAAAATGCCTTTTTCTTCAAGACAATGCTCGAGTTCACACGTGTGCAGTTTTGATGGCAAAGATTAACGTTCGAATTAATTGACCATCCACCATATTCGCCTGATTTATTTCCTAACCTCAAAAAATGGCTTACCGGGCAACGATTCACGTCGAATGAATAAGTCATCGCCGAAACAAATACCTATTTTGAGGGTTTTCAGAAATCATATTTTTCTGATGGCTTAAAAAAACTGGAAGGCCATTTAATAAAATGTATCGACCTTCAAGGAGATTATGTTAAAAAATAAAAAAAAATTACATACGTAAAACTTTTTTTCCTTCTTTTTTAAAGACTTATTGACCCCCCCCTCGTACTTCTGACTGGAGGTTCTATCTGTGTTTGTCCGTTCGTGTCGTTCCTCCGTATCTCGTTACGTCGCGTCACTTCATCTGCTCAGTCATCTGTCAGCCAACCGTCCGCGTTCTTACGTCTCAGTATAGTTTCCGTTAGGTAGCGACTAAGCGCCACCATTCGGGTTCACAAGACATCAGAGCCACGATGTTATCGGGGGTGATGCTGCCGACCTTTTCTTCCAGTTCCTGTCTAAGTCTTGTCCAGCGGTTACACGCGAAAAACGTGTTGTCCGCGTCGTCTTGTTCGTATCCACAGTACGTACAATCGGGTGTTCGTAGTCTGTTCATATTGTACAGGTACCGTCGGAAGTACCCGTGGCCCGTCAAGAGCTGGGTGACGTAGAAATTTACATCACCAAATTTCCTTCCGAGCTACAGCCTAAAGTCCCGTATCAATCGTCTCGTCCAGTTACCACTTTGTTCCTTTGTTCATAGGCCTTACCAAATGTCAATTGTCCTGTCACGCTCAGCGATTGTCGCGATTTTATGTCCGCGCTGCTCCGGTAGATCCTTTTACATTCAAAGGCCAGAAGATCCACGGATATTACGTCAGCCACCACCAAAACAGCCTACGCAGAGACTGTTCGGTAGGAGCAAGCGATTTGCAGTGCGCCCGGTCTCTGTACCATCATCATCGACTTACAGTATTTCTTTGTCTTCTGGGAGTCTCCCCATATTTCCGCGCCGTATAGAAGAATCAAGTGAGTTGTCGCCATTAACAGTGGTCGTTTTTCCGATCTCCGTCCCGTCGTATTTGCCATCAGGCGACTCAAGAATGCTATCCTCTCTTCCGCTTTCCGGGTTGTTTTCTGTATATGAGGACAAAAGGTTATCTTCGTATCGAGAGTTACCCCAAGGTACTTGACTTCCCTCTTGGTCTCCATCTTGTATGTCCCCACCGTCATTTTCAGTATCGTCTGTATGCGTCTTCTCGTGAGAAACATCAGTTCCGTTTTTTCTGTTGCGAGTTGCAGTCCGTGGTCTGTCATATCCATCGTCCGACTCGTCTCATGGTCTGGTTCAACGCCAGCTGCGCCAGCTCGGGGGACCTCCTCGTAATCACCGCCGCCATGTCATCAGCGTAGGCGACAAGGGTCACTCCGAACAGCATCCCAAGCCGAAGCAAGCTATCGTATAAGCCATTCCAGAAGTCAGGTTCCAGTATCGACCCCTTTGCCACCCCAGCGGTGACCTGTCTCGTTACTTGTCCTTCGATCGTCCCGTACGTTATCCGTCTGTTTTTTAGGTTATCCTCCACAACCCGAAGCAGGTATGGTTGGATCCCGAAGTTGCTTTTCAGCGCCTCCAAGATATCCTTCTACCTGGTCGAATCGAAAGCAATCCTAATGTCGAGCGTCGCCAACAACACTATAGGTCGCGCGGCGTGTCAGTGTCTGTCTAGTTCCAGCAAAGAGTCGACCATCTTTTGGATCACTCCAATCGTCGATTGACTCCTCCTGAAACCGAACTGCAAATCTGATAAACCTCCTCCGGTCTGTATCGCATCCATCAGTCTCGGTCTCAGTAATTGTTCCAAGAGTTTACCAGTCGTGTCAAGTAAACTCAATGGTCGGTAGGCCGAAGGCGTACCAGGATAGCTCCTACCTTTTGGGATAAGAACGAGCCTAGCCACCTTCCATCGGTCGCTGAACGTTTCTGTCGCTAAGCATGTACGAGGTGTGATCAAAAAGTAAGGTGAATTTTTATTTTTCTCAAAAAATATTTATTTATTCATCAATTTTTATTTTATCTCCTTCAAAGTAATCCCCCTCGGGTATAATGCACTTGTGCCAACGCTTTTTCCAATCCTCAAAGCATTTCAAAAAATCATTTTATGTGATCTTGTTTAGTTCATCCTTCGATGCCGTCTTTATCTCCTCAATCGTGGCAAAACGCCGTCCTTTCATGGGCCTCTTCAGTTTTGGGAACAAGAAGAAGTCACAGGGGGCCAGATCTGGGGAATACGGTGCCTGTGGCATCGTTATTGTGTTGGTTTTAGCCAAAAATTCGCGCACAAGCAACGATGTGTGAGCAGGGGCGTTATCATGGTGCAAAAGCCATAATTTATTTTTCCACAAATTTTCCACAAACGTTTCTGGCGGATTGCTTCGCGCAAATTCCGCATAACTTGCAGGTAATATTCCTTATTTACTGTTCTACCCTGTGGCAAGAACTCATGATGCACCACGCCCCTGCAGTCAAAGAAAACTGTAAGCAAAACCTTTACATTTGATCGAACTTGGCGTGCTTTTTTTGGTCTTGGTGATCCAGAATGCCTCCACTGGGACGATTGAGTCTTAGTCTCGACGTCATAACCGTATACCCATGTTTCCTCACCTGTTATAACCCTGTTGAGTAAATCTGGATCATCGTTGACGTCATTCAGTAGCTCTTGGGCGATGCTCAAGCGACGTTTCTTTTGGTCGAAATTAAGCAATTTCGGAACAAACTTCGCTGACACACGTCTCATGTCTAAAACACTCGTCAAAATTGATTGGCACGAACCAAATGAGATGCCAATATCATCAGCAATTTCTCTAATGGTAATTCGACGATTTCCCAACACTATTTTCTTCACTTCTTCAACATTCTCATCAGTTGTTGATGTGCTGGGGCGTCCAGAACGAGGTTCGTCGTCGGTGTCTTCTCGGCCTTCTTGGAAGAGTTTATACCACTTGTAAACATTTTTTTGGCTTAAAGTAGACTCACCGTATGCCACTTTCAGCATTTCAAGTGTTTTAGAACATTTGATTCCATTTTTCACACAAAATTTAATGCAAACTCTTTGATCCATGTTTTTAGACAGCAGCAAATCGTGGAGCACGCAAAACACTTCTAACCTTGATGCCTCTCACAAACAAACCAAACATACTACAAAGCTGAAATTTGGAACGTATGTTCTAGACGAGTGTACCGACATAACCAAATAAAAAAGTCGAAGATCGAACGGACGTAGCCCGCTAAATTTCAGAATTCACCTTACTTTTTGATCACACCTCGTATTATACAGGTCAAGGAGTATCTCCGGCCGTAGACGAACGAGCCGGAGGATCTCGGCCGGTACTCCGTGTGATCTCGGTGCCTTACTCGTTTTCATCGCATACGTTGCTCTGGTGAGCTCCACAACGGCAAAGGCTGAGGGTATCAATGCGTCCACGTTGTCCGTCACGTTCGTCCTAATCAGGTGCGTTGGAAACAATCCGTCAACAATCCGTCCTGCTGTTTCAGCATATTTAAGTTCCGGTGGGACTCGCACCCCTAGTTTGTCGGTCACAATCTTATACCCGGTTCCTCAGGGATACTCGTTCACCTCCTCGCAGAGCTTCCTCCAGCATCGCGTCTTGCTGTCCCATATTGCTTTCGTCAGCGTCTTCCGTACTGTTTTGTATATGGTTTGGAGGTTTTCCCTTTCGGGTCAGCCCCCTACCCTTATCACTCGTCGCCGATTTGCCAGGCATATCCTGCGTAGCTCGGCTATCTCGTTCATCCACCATATTGTGATTGTCTTTGTTGTATCTGTCGACATTTCTGCATTGTACTTCTGCACAAAATGTTTAGGAATTTGGCCGTCTCGTCTGTCAGTCTTTCCGCTCTTCGCCGGCCTATTAGTTCGGGGGAATTCTGATCCCTGGAGCTGGTGTTGCCATTAACTCCTCCGAAAATTTTCGTCCGTCGAGATTACGTAGATTTATCGCGGGGGTTGGTGGGTTCTCGTTCGTCTCGTTTCCGTCTGTCCCACCACGTCGAAGACGATGAGGGTGATCGCTGGCTGTGTAGTTTTCGATCATCCGCCATCTCCTTAGTCGTGGCAGGATTCTGTCCGACGTCATCGTGAGGTCGTGCCTTGCGGCCATTTCCAGCAGTAGTTGTCCGCTTCGATTCGTTTCGTCCATTCCTCATTCGGTCACCCTCACGTTAAAATCCTCCGCACCGGTGACATCCCCGGGCAGGTCCCTGATCCCGTCTTCTAGGAGTGCCGCCTTTCTTTCGAACTCCATAGTTTCGAACTCCATCGGTTTCGAATCTCCATCCAAAATGACATTAATATTATCAATATTATTTTTACCGAAATATGAAAATGAATTACTATCAGAACTACATAAAAAATAGTTACAGATTTCATTAACGTCGTGAAACCGTAGCAACAATTAAAACTATAGGTAAATTCCGTAGTCCTTGAAAAGAAAAAACTTGATAAAAGAGTATGTTGTTTGAATGTTTGTAAGGATTGAAAAATATTGTCTTGAAATGGAATCCATTCAATTATAAAATTACTTACAGGATTGAAAATAAGCATCTGGCAGAGAAGATGTACAGCTTCATGAGTGGCATTATTCCCAAGAGTATACAAAATATTAAGAGATGATGGTTTAGAAATGCACCTGAGCATGTGAGACTTAGCACCTTCACAAGCATGCCTCATATCATGTAAGTTTGGAGTACCCAATAATTCCGTGATCAGATCTAACTAAAAAATATAAAGAATACGTCAATTTTGAATAATATTCAACCGATCATGATAAGTTTTAATTAATATAAACCTTTTCAAGTATGTATGATAAATTAGTGTTCATTGCTATTTATAATATGCGACCTTATAATATGAATGAATCATAGTAACTTATAATTCGTGCCCATAATCTGCAAATTCTTTTCTTATTATTTTTCCAGAGAAAAGAACAGATACAGAAATATCAAAAGTATGGCACACATTAAAGATAGAAGAGATTTCATATTTCTTCCTTCTACTTAATAATATATCCATGCTATGAAAACAGTAGCTCAGATCATCCATATAAGTCCTTTAGACTCAAAATATTAAATTATGAAGAAAAAAAAACTGAATGAACTAACTAACTAACTAAAAAAAACTACATGAATGTATTTGGGCTTTGAGCAGCACATATAATGGAGTTATCATACCTGTGACTTTCAAGATTATATTTAAGGTTATTTCAATATCAATTTTGTTATTTGAAATAGGACTCTTATTTTCGACTCTAGATTCATAATTGGCAGCAAATTATAACTTCATATTGTGTGCTACACGTAGAGTTTGTAGTTCTAATACTGTAAATTCATGAAGATTAAATTTAATAAATTATTTTTCTAACCTTAAAATTTTGTATAAGTATAGTTTAGTAAGCAAAATTTCAGATAAATGGTTTGCAACGATTACCGAAAATCGTAAGACTCGCGCGAGGTTAACGAGCGGCTAAGCGAGAGGAGCCGCCTTCGGTTCGCGGGAGAGAGAGAGCGCGTAAGGGGCAACGACCAGAAGGGGAGGCTCCGACCGGCAGTATGACTGTGTTACTCAGTATGTCAGCGTCGCGCTAACCTCCATTCTTCCGCATTTTCGTGAGTTCCTTGTTTTTCCTGGTGACTTTGCGAGCTTGAGTGCGTGGGTGCAGTAGCAGCAGCAATAGCAGCAGAAGTAGCAGTAATAGCAGCAGGAGAAACAGCAGAAGCAGCAGCGACAGCAGCAACAACAACAGCAGCAACAGTAATCAAGGCGGTGCGGCAAGCGGCAAAGCAGTTTATTAACAGCGTGTTAGTCGGATACGGTTGGCCACCGTATCCTCATCGATATCGCGGTAGGTGCACCTTCTTCCCTTTTCAATCGTTAATATAATTTACGTGCGAATCCGCGCAGCGAGCGCGAAGAATTTATTTGTTGCGTGCGAGCAGGTAGTTCGCGGTAATCGCGGTTTTCTCTCTCTCTCTCTCAATCTGCGTGTCTTGTCATTCACGCGAGCGTGCGTAAGTCTCTCGGCCAGACCCTCGTGTAAATAAGTTGCGTTAATAAAGTGCATTTTAATCGTTACTTTCGAGTCAAATAGTCGTTATTTAGTCTTTCCTTTGTCCGGAGGTCGCGCCCGTGTTTATTTTCAGTGGATTCGAATTCGCCGGTTGCGTAGCACGAATCGTGCGAATTCCGATAGACGCGAGTCGACAACTTAGGTTCCAGCGGCGGCCGCACGAGCGCTACTAGCAAGGGGCGACAGCGCCGCCAAGCGGTGAGTTGGGGGAACCCAACTCGGAACAGTGAAGAGACTCTGCGCAGGCGCACTCCGAGGCAAGGTAGGTTACTGTGCTTTAAGCACATAGATAACAAGGCTTCGTCTAGTTATACTAAGGGCACTTTTTAGAGATTATCGACTAGGCGGCAGCCTGTTACATGGCGCCCAACTAGAATTAGGACTCACACACGAGGGAGTTTGCACGAAAAGAGAGAGTAACGCGCGCGAGAGAGAGACGTTTGCGCGCGTGCGTAATAAGGTGCGAGCGGGTAAAATAACGCGTGGCTCGTTCGGTACGTGCTCTGCGGTAGGGAAAAGACGCCTCTCCGACCCAATAATACCTGCTTTTGTGAGCCGAGAGCACACTAACCCCAGGGGTCGAAGAGACGTCCGGAATCGCTCTAACTCGAATAGAAGAGGTGACAAATAGCATTTTGATTAACTTTTTGCTTTTTAAGTGTTTACATACACGTTAAAGTAATTAAGTGAGGGTTAGTCACCGAGCGACAGTACCAGCAGAGCGCGCAATTGGGGTGTGTGTAGGGTTAGATTAACTAACCCGGTGGAGCTAACAAACAGTTAGCCTCCACCTATAGGCAGGTAGTTGCGAAGTGGAAGTTCGTACTTCCTTAGAGTACGCGATACCTGCACACACCCACAAGCCACGCGTAGTGTTGCCTTGTAAATAAAGGCGTAATTGGGTAGTTGGCGATAAAAATCGCAACACCCCGCTCGCGCCTTGGGCGATAGGAGGCGGTAGTGGTCGACTAGGGAAAATTAACCTCAACCGTCACCTACGCCCCAGCATAAGCGATATGGAGGATACCGCCGACGCGATAACCCGGTGGGCTTCGGAACTGCCTTCGACACAGCTGGACAGATACCTGACGCAACTGGAGTTGCGCACAGATGGTCCCAAGCTGATGCAGGCAGTTCGATTAGCGTATTGGTTGCTAGGCGAATATATCGACCTAGACTTCCAAGGAGCAGCGTTGGATAGGGAGGCCACACAACGCAGGCGAAGGAGTCGAGAGAGGTGGCTGGAGTCCAGGCGACAAGAATTAGAAGCACCTGATGCCGAGGATCTTGTCGCCCACCCACTCATGCTGTTATACAGAGATGAGGTGGTAGAGGCGAACCTGACGCGGACTCTCGCGGTCTACGACAACTTAGAAGAGGAGAGTCAGAGCGAGACGGGGGAGCGAGAGCCCGCAGAGGAAGGGGGGACCGGCGAGGTCAAGGGGCCCACGGAGGGGGTCAATAGTGAGCACAAGGGCTCCACCGGATCGCCGGATAGGCGAAGAGCCCGTCGTTTCGAGAACGCGGAGCTACAACCTCCAGAAGAAGAGGAAGAGCGGTGCGTGACCGAACGACTAAAGGAGGAGATTGAGCGCAACCGGGTCGGGATAAACCGCATATTAGAGATGCTGGAAAGACACGACCAGGTATGCGCGCGGTGGAGCGACGAGGTGACCGCCCTGCAGGTGGAGGTCCAGCAGTTAAGGAACAGGGACCCCACCAATCGACGAACGGTCATACCAGAGCGGCCCCGGAGGACCGTGGACTTCCAGTCCACGTATACGTGCCACTACGACCCAAGGGTACCAGGTAGTACCCCGGAACCCCAGCGACCGACCCCTGGCGAACCTCGAGAGGCTCCCCAAAGGCAGGTGCCTTCAAGGACGGAACAGCCACCAAGAAGAGGACCAAGAGACGCCGACATGGGGGAAGATCAGGCGATCCCGGAAGGATCCACCTGGTATGACGCTAATGCGGCGTCGGGGTACTATGCGACTCGGGACGCGGGTAGGATTGTCCGAGGATGGAAGCTGCGATACTCTGGCACGGCTTCAGAGTGCGTAGACACCTTCCTATCAAGACTGGAGGATCTACGCGCGGGCTCAGGGCTAACGGACGGCGAAATCTTGTGCTCGGTATCAGAGCTCCTCGAAGGCGTTGCGAGGACCTGGTACGAGCTTAACAAGTTCAAGTGGAGGAATTACGCCGATTTCGTGGCAGGCGCTCGACGATGGTTTGGGTCAAGTGAGTTGCAGCAACAAAGATTGCTGCAAGAGGCCCAAGCCCGATACCAGGAGAAAGGAGAGCTGGTGCGAGAATATGCCTGCCACCTCCTCTTCATGTTAGCCCAGCTACGCCCGCCGTTACCAGAGCAGAGGCAGTTAGATTTGTTGTATGCAAATCTCCTACCCGCCATCCGGATGCAGCTGCGGAGGAATGCGTTCTCCAACGTGGACGAATTCCACGCCCGGGCGACCGAAATCGAGACCGCCTTGCGGGACGACGAGCGCCCGAGGACCAGGTTGGAGCCAACGTCCACGTTGTACCCCGAGCACATGGGGGTGTCAACTAAGGCACCACCGCCCCGGGCAGGACCCCGGACGGCGGCCATGTCCAGCAAGCCTCGGGGTAGGGAACAGCTGCAACCCGAGTCGCCGGTTAAAGCCCCGGCCAGGAAACCCGAGGACCGGCCCACAATCGCCCCAACGCTGGCGACAGACCGCTTTGAGGATCTGTCGTCGCAAATTGCGACCCTGCGGCGAGATATGGACCGGTACTTTAAGGAGAGGAAGGCTAACTCTCCCAGGCGGCCGAGGGGTCGGCCGCAAGAAAAGGGGAGGAATAAAACCTCCCCAGGGTCGCCTGGCCAGCGACGAAAGGGTCAGCGGAGGAAAATAGACTACTCCCAACCGATTAAGTGCTCGTCTTGTGGCAAGCTAGGCTTTACCAGAAGGTACTGCCCGGATTGCAACAAGGGAAACGGGCAGGGAAGCGGAGGACGGAGGTCCCCTCCGCGTCCCCAGTAAAGGTGACCTCTCGTCGCGGGTCGCTGGAACGGGGCAGGGGCCCGCCAGCGACCTCAGGGTTCAGGAAGGTCTCGCCAGGGATATCGGACCCTACGAGACCTGGCAGTGCGGTGGCGTTGGAAGCGACAGCGACCGAACAGATGCTTGATCTGGGTAACCGGGTATTTTGTATCCTCGAAGGGTACGGAGGCCGGATTCAGGTGGTGGAGCAGGGGTTTGAATGGGTCGGAGAGGAGACCATCAGACCCAAAAGCTCCAGGAGACCACCTGACGCTCCGGAGGATACGCCGGCGACCCAGACACCTGAGGATGAGAGCACGTCGATGCGAGTAGCGGCTGCCCAAGGCAAGAAGAGCCGGGAAAGCTTCCCGTCCACAGAGGGGAGAGAGACGGCGAAAGCTCCCCGCAGGTATAGACCCGAGGATGAGACAAGATGGTGGCTTCAGGTGGGGATAGGTGCCTACAAGTTAAGGGCACTCTACGACACCGGGGCCTCATCGACGGTAATGGGTCAACTCGGGCTTAGGTTGGCATCAGACATGGGGTTGGGCCTGGACGTCACGCGTGCGGGAGAAGCGAAGCTCGCTGACGGTCGCCCATGTCCCATCTTGGGTCATGTGATTTTCCCTTTCACGGTAGGGGGAATCACAAAAGACGTAAGGGTCGCTATAACGCCACTGCTGTCTGATGACTGCTATGTCGGCGCAAATTTCGTAAGGGAATTCAGCGCCAACCTGAACCCTGACACGGACCAGTTGTACTTGGCGAAAGCCAAAGTGGCGGTACCGTTGGAAGTGGCAAGCGTCACTGGTACGTCGTGCCTCGCACCCGTAGGCCTGGTAGAAGCCACGGAAGCACAGCGCCAAGAAGTGGCTAGCCTCGTCGATGGATTAATTCCAGACGGAGGCGAGTGTTTAGGCTGTGCTGTGGGGGTCGAGCATGAGATAGACATCGGAGACGCTCGACCCTGTAAACAAAAATACTACCCGGTCTCCGACAGGGTGCGAGACGAAATGCACGCGCTGGTCAAGGCCATGCTGGACAACGACGTCATTGAACCAGCAACCAGCGGGTGGTCA